ACTCACACACCACTGACTCACACACCCTGACTCACGCACACACTGACTCACACACACTGACTCACGCACACTGACTCACTCACACCCTGACTCACTCACACCCTGACTCACTCACACACTGACTCACACACACTGACTCACGCACACACTGACTCACACACACTGACTCACACACACACTGACTCACACACACACTGACTCACACACACACTGACTCACACACACACTGACTCACACACAAACTGACTCACGCACACTGACTCACACACATACTGACTCACACACACACTGACTCACACACCCTGACTCACACACACTGACTCGCACATACTGACTCACACACACACTGACTCACACACCCTGACTCACACACACACTGACTCACGCACACACTGACTCACGCACACTGACTCACACACACACTGACTCACGCACACACTGACTCACGCACACACTGACTCACACACACACTGACTCACACACACTGACTCACACACACCCTGACTCACACACACACTGACGCACACACACTGACTCACACACCACTGACTCACACACACACACTGACTCACACACACCACTGACTCACACACACACACTGACTCACACACACACTGACTCACACACACACTGACTCACACACACTGACTCACGCACACACTGACTCACGCACACACTGACTCACACACACTGACTCACGCACACCCTGACTCACGCACACACTGACTCACACACACACACTGACTCACACACACCCTGACTCACGCACACTGACACACACACACACACTGACTCACACACACACTGACTCACACACACACTGACTCACACACACACTGACTCACACACACTGACACACGCACACTGACTCACACACACCCTGACTCACACACACACTGACTCACGCACACCCTGACTCACACACACACACTGACTCACACACACCCTGACTCACGCACACTGACTCACGCACACACTGACTCACGCACACACTGACTCACCACACTGACTCACACACACCCTGACTCACACACACTGACTCACACACCCTGCCTCACACACACTCACTCACCCTCCTCACCCAGACTCACTCACCCTCCTCACCCACTCACTCACCCTCACCCACCCACCTTCACCGTCACCTATCCACCCACCCAACCCTCACCCAACCCTCACCCAACCCTCACCCACCCTCACCCTCACCGTCACCTATCCACCCACTCTACCCTCACCCAACCCTCACCCAACCCTCACCCAACCCTCACCCAACCCTCACCCAACCCTCACCCACCCTCACCCACCCTCACCCTCACCACGGGCTGCCTCTCACCTGTGTAGGAGGAGCCAGGGAGAGTGGCCTCCCGACTGGACAGCATTGGAGTGAACGCCATCCCATAGTAGTCCTGCACAGGGTGACACACGCGGTGACATGTGGTGACACGTGGTGACACACGTGGTGACACACGTGGTGACACACGTGGTGACACACGTGGTGACACGTGATGACATGTGATGACACGTGGTGACACACGTGGTGACACGTGGTGACACGTGGTGACACACGTGGTGACACGTGATGACACGTGGTGACACACGTGGTGACACACGTGGTGACACACGTGGTGACACACGTGGTGACACACGTGGTGACACGTGGTGACACACGTGGTGACACACGTGGTGACACACGTGTGTCACCACGTGGTGACACGTGGTGACACGTGGTGACACGTGGTGACACGTGGTGACACGTGGTGACACGTGATGACACGTGGTGACACACGTGATGACACGTGGTGACACGTGGTGACACACGTGGTGACACACGTGGTGACACACGTGGTGACACGTGATGACATGTGATGACACGTGGTGACACACGTGGTGACACGTGGTGACACACGTGGTGACACGTGGTGACACACGTGATGACACGTGGTGACACACGTGGTGACACACGTGGTGACACACGTGGTGACACACGTGGTGACACGTGGTGACACGTGGTGACACACGTGGTGACACACGTGGTGACACACGTGTGTCACCACGTGATGACACGTGGTGACACACGTGGTGACACGTGGTGACACGTGATGACACGTGGTGACACACGTGATGACACGTGGTGACACACGTGGTGACACGTGATGACACGTGGTGACACACGTGGTGACACACGTGGTGACACACGTGGTGACACACGTGGTGACACGTGATGACACACGTGGTGACATGTGGTGACACGTGGTGACACACGTGGTGACACACGTGGTGACACGTGATGACACACGTGGTGACACGTGGTGACACACGTGGTAACACACGTGGTGACACGTGGTGTGACAAACATGGTGACACGTGGTGACACGTGGTAACACACGTGGTGACACGTAGTGACACACGTGGTGACACACGTGGTGACACACGTGGTGACACACGTGGTGACACACGTGGTGACACGTGGTGACACACGTGGTGACACACGTGGTGACACACGTGGTGACACGTGGTGACACGTGGTGACACGTGGGGCAAAGCAACGGGGTGAGTGTGTACGTGTCCATGTGTGTGTGAGTGTGTGTACGGCCTCTCCCCTCATGGCGTCTGTGACCACCACAGGGGCTAAACGGGGGCTCTGGACGGGTGCGAGGGGCTGGTAACCCCTCCACCTTCAATTAATTACCACTAAACCACGAGTTAAATATGTAACTAATAAGCTTGTGCTGGACAGGCGTCTATGACGTCTCCTGGCCAACCCCAATTGGCGGAGCCAGGAGATTGAATCTCTACCCTCGGGGCTCCTCCAGAAACAACGAAAAGCCACTTCGTGTGGCCACGTGGAATGTTCGAACGCTCACCGCGGAGGAGAGGCTGCCGCTCCTGTCGGGAGCTGGACCGGTACCGCCTGGATCTCTGTGGCATTCGGGAGGGTCCGATGGACCGGTTCTGGCTCCTGCCACCATGAGGGGTGGACAGTCCTCTACTCGGGGCAGCAGACTGCCAAACAACAGGGTGTGGCTCTTCTTTTGAACAAGACCTACATCTCTGCTTTATTGACCTGGTCAAGGCCTATGATACCATCAGTAGGCCTGGGCTCTGGGTCGTTCTTCGTGCTTTTGGAGTACCTGACCCTCTGCTCACGATCATTAAGAACCTTCATTGATGGTGAGCGGGCCCGGGTAAAACTACGTGACCGGGAGTCAGAGCCATTCCCAGTACACCTTGGGGTGCAGCAGGGATGTCCTCTGGCTCCCACATTATTTAACATATCTATTGATCATGTAGTTCGTGAAGCCTTCAATGGCTGTACCGGAGGAATCTCCATATGGTACAGACACAATGGGAGGCTGATCGATGCCCGGGTGCGGTCAAGGGATGGCTCCCTATTGCTCAACCACGTTATGTATGCTGATGATTTGGTAATAACTGCTCAATCAGAGGAGGAGTTGGAGACGCTGCTGCTGAGACTGGAGCGTGCCACTAAGAGATGGGGCCTTACCATCAGCCCCACCAAAACTAAGCACCTGCCTGGGTATTTTGTACCATCGGACACTCCACCCCACAACTCCCAATCAGTGATGGGGCAGTTGTGGAGAGAGTGGAGAGTTTCCCATACCTAGGCAGTGTGCTTATGACCGGCTCCAGTTTAACAGCAGAGGTCTCACTCCGAATCAGTCGAGCGGCAATATCTTTTCATCGGTTGCGTAACGCTGTGTGGAAGCTACCTGGTCTGTCGCTCCGCACTAAGCTTCAGGTCTTCTCGGCCACGGTCATTCCCTCCCTTCTCTACGCTTGCGAAACGTGGACCCCCCTAATGGAACATCTTCGCCGGTTAGAAACATTTAGGTTAGCCTGCCTACGATCCATCCTGGTTTAACCAGACTGGATTGTGTGAGGAGCTCACAAATCCTTGAAAGATCTGGGCAAGGTCCCATCGGTGAGCTCCTCCGGCAGGCAAGGCTGCGTTGGCTGAGTCATGTAGCCCGCATGCCCAGCCACCGCATGCCAAAACAGCTTTTGTTCGGCCAGATCGAGGGGGCTAAACGGGCGCGGCACGGGCTAGAGAAGAGATGGAGTGATGTGGTACAGGAGGACGTGGAGCTGAGTGGACTTGCCGATGGCTGGTACCAGCGGTGTCAAGATCGACGTCTGTGGAGGAGGCTCGTGAAGGACGCTACTGGGCAGTTGGAGGCAGTCGCCCTCCAACAACAACGGAGGGCGGAGGAGCGACGCTCAGAACAACGAGCGGAGCGCCGGGTGGCTAACGCACAGCAGGTTGGCACAGTAGGGGGCAGAGGTGGTGCATCAGCCAGTCATCTCAGTCATCTCAGTCAGTCGACCCGTGCCACCTGGGTCTGCCCCGTGACCTCCTGCCAGCGGGCGTTCGACACTTCACGTGGCCTCAAGGTGCACATGGCCTGGCACAAGCGTCGTGGTGACGTCACCGCCACTTAGTGGCGAATGGCGGTTGTTGTTGTCGTGTGTGCCTGTGTGTGTGTGCCTGTGTGTGTGTGTGTACGAGTCCGCATGTGTGAGTGTGTATGTGTGACTGTGTGTGTTAGTGTGTGTGTGTGACTGTGTGTGTGTGTGCGTGTGTGCGTGTGTGTGTGACTGTGTGTGACTGTGTGACTGTGTGTGTTACTGTGTGTGTTAGTGTGTGTGTTAGTGTGTGTGTTAGTGTGTCCGGCAAAACAACCCCCTACCTCCTCGCGGTGCCGGACGGGCAACTCTGTCGTGGACAGCGCTGTGGGGGGAGATCCAATTTTGATTGGCTCCTCCCCTCATGGCATATGTGTCCACCACAGGGGCTAAACGGGGGCTCTGGACGGGTGCGAGGGGCTGGTAACCCCTCCACCTTCAATTAATTACCACGAAACTACGAATTAAACTGAAATATGTAACAACTAAGCTTGTGCCGGAGGCCCCGGGGGGCCAGGCGTCTATGACGTCTCCTGGCCAAACCCCAATTGGCGGAGCCAGGAGATTGAATACCTACCCTCGGGGCTACTCCAGAAACAACGAAAAGCCACTACGGTTGGCCACGTGGAATGTTCGAACGCTCACTGCAGAGGAGAGGCTGCCACTCCTCTGTCGGGAGCTGGACCGGTACCGCCTGGATCTATGCGGCATTCAGGAGGTCCTGGACCGGCTCTGGCTCCTGCCACCATGAGGGGTGGACAGTCCTCTACTCGGGGCAGCAGACTGCCAAACAACAGGGTGTGGGTCTTCTTTTGAACAAAAGAATGAAGGGGGCGTGGGAGCGTGGCGGTGAGGTGTGGGAAGCTGTAAGCCCCAGGCTACTTTGGGCTCGCCTTCCCACCAACCGGAGGCGAGGAATGGTGGTCGTGGTTACTTATGCCCCCACCGAAGATGAACATCCGTGGAGGGATGCAGGCAAAGCCGATGAGTCAGATGCCTTCTATGACCTCCTGTCACAGGTGCTGGCTAAAGTGGCCCCTCGGGATAGAGTCATCATGTTGGGTGACTTCAATGCCCGAGTTGGTCATGATACTGGCACCTGGTCTGGAGTGATTGGAGGGCATGGGCCAGATCAGCTCAATAACAACGGTAGGAGGTTGCTAGATTTTTGTGCAGCCCATGGGCTTGTAATTACCAACACGCTGTTCCGGCATCGGCGCATCCACACAACATCATGGATGCATGCCGGGTCCAAGCAAGAACATCTGCTGGACTACATAGTGACGGACCAGCGAATGCGAGCCCATGTCCTTGACACCAGGACCTACCGTGGAGCTGATCTGCCCTCTGACCATCGACTAGTCATCTGTAAGATGCGCCTGCCATTCTTCCACTCCGGTGGTGGGTGTACACCCAGGACCCCATTCCAACCTAAAGTGGCCTGGTCTCAGTTATCTGATGAAAGTTGCAAGCGAGAATTTCATCATCGCTTGCGGCTGGGATTGGCATCGTCCCCGACTCCTCCTGATGTCGAGGGTAAATGGGCGAGGTTTAGGACTGACTCATGCAGCTGCAATGGCTGCTTTGGGTACACGGTCCAGACCTCCCCAGAGACCCTGGTTGACAGAGGAGGTGTTCAGGATGGTTGAGAAAAAGCGACAGGCCCACTGTCATCGGCTACAGAATCCCACGTCAGAGAAGGAGGAGGCTTACCGCAGCCTTCGCTCGGAGGTTCGGAGAGCCGTGAGGCGCTGCAAGGATGGGTGGTGGTCGCGGGTTGCTGAGGAGATGGAGTCTGCCTCAGTGGCCCGTGATCACAAATCTCTATTTAACTCCATCAAAAAGTAACCTGCAGCGCCACACCTATTACCATCATTAGGGGAAAAAACGGTGATCCAATTTCCGACCCCCAGGAACAGGTTCGCAGATTTGCTGAGCATTTCTGTGAGGTCCTGGGGGAGGGAAAATCCCTCAGCCAGGAAAACATCGTGGCACAAAGTGAGGATGACCCTGCTGAGGCTGCGGTGCCTCAAATATTGGATGAAGTCACCCCCTGTGAGTGGCTGGCTGAGGTGCCATCTGCTGAGGAAGTATTGAGGCGATCCGGAGTCTGAGACCAGGAAAGGCAGCGGGCAGAGATGATCTCCCAAGCGAAATGCTGAGGGAGGGTGGCGTTTGTGCACAGACTGCCCTATATGACATCATAACAACAGTCTGGACCACTGGACGGGTTCCGCAGGATTGGAAGGATGCCCTGGTGGTCCCCCTTTTTAAGAAGGGGGACCGCACAGACTGTAACAACTACAGGGGCATCTCACTCCTCAGTGTGCCGGGAAAGGTCCTGGCAAGGATTATTCAGCATCGCCTTGCCAGGCACGCTGAGGAGAGGCTTGCGGAGCCCCAATGCGGTTTCAGGAAAGGGCGGTCCTGCACAGATGCCATATTTTTCTGTCCGTCTGCTACAGCAGAGGTGTAGGGAATTCCAACAAGACCTACATCTCTGCTTTATTGACCTGGTCAAGGCCTATGATACCATCAGTAGGCCTGGGCTCTGGGTCGTTCTTCGTGCTTTTGGAGTACCTGACCCTCTGCTCACGATCATTAAGGACCTTCATGATGGTGAGCGGGCCCGGGTAAAACTACGTGGCCGGGAGTCAGAGCCATTCCCTGTACACCTTGGGTGCGACAGGGATGTCCTCTGGCTCCCACATTATTTAACATCTATATTGACCACGTAGTTCGTGAAGCCTTCAATAGCTGTACCGGGGGAATCTCCATATGGTACAGATATAATGGGGAGGCTAATCGATGCCCGGGTGCGGTCAAGGGATGGCTCCCTATTGCTCAACCACGTTATGTATGCTGATGACTTGGTAATAGCTGCTCAGTCAGAGGAGGAGTTGGAGACGCTGCTGCTGAGACTGGAGCGTGCCACTAAGAGGTGGGGCCGTACCATCAGCCCCACCAACACTAAGCACCTGCCTGGGTATTTGGTACCATCGGACACTCCACCCCCACAACTCCCAATCGGTGATGGGGCAGTTGTGGAGAGAGTGGAGAGTTTCCCATACCTGGGCAGTGTGCTTATGACTGGCTCCAGTTTAACAGCAGAGGTCTCACTCCGAATCAGTCGAGCGGAAATATCTTTTCATCGGTTGCGTAACGCTGTGTGGAAGCTACCTGGTCTGTCGCTCCGCACTAAGCTTCAGGTCTTCTCGGCCACGGTCATTCCCTCCCTTCTCTACGCTTGCGAAACGTGGACCCCCCTAATGGAACATCTTCGCCGGTTAGAAACATTTAGGCTGGCCTGCCTATGATCCATCCTGGGTTTTAACCAGACTGGATTGTGTGAGGAGCTCACAAATCCTTGAAAGATCTGGGCAGGGTCCCATCGGTGAGCTCCTCCGGCAGGCAAGGCTGCGATGGCTGGGTCATGTAGCCCGCATGCCCAGCCACCGCATGCCGAAACAGCTTTTGTTTGGCCGGATTGAGGGGGCTAAGCGGGCGCGGCACGGGCTAGAGAAGAGATGGAGTGATGTGGTACAGGAGGACGTGGAGCTGAGTGGACTTGCCGATGACTGGTACCAGCGGTGTCAAGATCGGCCTCTGTGGAGGAGGCTCGTGAAGGATGCTACTGGGCAGTTGGAGGCAGTCGCCCTCCAACAACCACGGAGGGCGGAGGAGCGACGCTCAAAACAGCGAGCGGAGCGCCGGGTGGCTAAAGCACAGCAGGTTGGCACAGTAGGGGGCACAGGTGGTGCATCAGCCAGTCATCTCAGTCAGTCGACCCATGGCACCTGGGTCTGCCCCGTGACCTCCTGCCAGCGGGCGTTCGACACTTCACGTGGCCTCAGGGTGCACATAGCCTGGCACAAGCGTCGTGGTGACGTCACCGCCACTTAGTGGCGAATGGCGGTTGTTGTTGTTGTTGACTGTGTGAGTGACTGTGTGAGCGACTGTGAGTGACTGTGCGTGACTGTGCGTGACTGTGTGTGTTACTGTGTGTGTTACTGTGTGTGTTACTGTGTGCGTGTGTGTGTGACTGTGTGTGTTACTGTGTGTGTGACTGTGTGTGACTGTGTGTGACTGTGTGTGTGACTGTGTGTGTTACTGTGTGTGTGACTGTGTGTGTGACTGTGTGTGTGTTACTGTGTGCGTGTGTGTGTTACTGTGTGTGTGACTGTGTGTGTGACTGTGTGTGTGACTGTGTGTGTGACTGTGTGTGTGACTGTGTGTGTGACTGTGTGTGTGACTGTGTGTGTGACTGTGTGTGTGACTGTGTGTGTGACTGTGTGTGTTACTGTGTGTGTTACTGTGTGTACGAGTCCGCGTGTGTGAGTGAAATAACTCACGATGGGCATTCTCGCCTGGATCATCTGCAGCTCATCATAGCCGTAGATCTGAGGCTGAAACACAGAGATTTGGGTCACTCATAGCAGCAGCAGCATCATCATCAGTATCAGCATCATCATCAGCAGCACAGTATCAATCATTATCATCATCAGCAGCAGTAGCATCATCAGCATCATCTCACTTACAGCACTTGCCCCTACCGCACATTGAGAGGCTAAGTGGGTGAGGAAACCTTGTTCAGTGTGGTGAGTGTACGTGTGGTGAGTGTACGTGTGGTGAGTGTACGTGTGGTGAGTGTACGTGTGGTGAGTGTACGTGTGGTGAGTGTAACGTGTGGTGAGTGTACGAGTGGTGAGTGTCTGCGTGGTGAGTGTACGTGTGGTGAGTGTACGTGTGGTGAGTGTACGCGTGGTGAGTGTCTGCGTGGTGAGTGTACGTGTGGTGAGCGTACGTGTGGTGAGTGTACGTGTGGTGAGTGTCTGCGTGGTGAGTGTACCTGTGGTGAGTGTACTCGTGGTGAGTGTACGTGTGGTGAGTGTACGCGTGGTGAGTGTACGCGTGGTGAGTGTACGTGTGGTGAGTGTGCGTGTGGTGAGTGTACGTGTGGTGAGTGTACGTGTGGTGAGTGTACGTGTGGTGAGTGTACGTGTGGTGAGTGTACGTGTGGTGAGTGTACGTGTGGTGAGTGTACGGGTGGTGAGTGTACGTGTGGTGAGTGTACGTGTGGTGAGTGTACGTGTGGTGAGTGTACGTGTGGTGAGTGTACGTGCGGTGAGTGTACGTGCGGTGAGTTGTACGTGCGGTGAGTGTACGTGCGGTGAGTGTACGTGCGGTGAGTGTACGTGCGGTGAGTGTACGTGTGGTGAGTGTAACGCGTGGTGAGTGTACGCGTGGTGAGTGTACGTGCGGTGAGTGTACGTGTGGTGAGTGTACGTGTGGTGAGTGTACGTGTGGTGAGTGTACGTGTGGTGAGTGTACGTGTGTTGAGTGTACGTGTGGTGAGTGTACGTGTGGTGAGTGTACGTGCGGTGAGTGTACGTGCGGTGAGTGGTACGTGTGGTGAGTGACGTGTGGTGAGTGTCTGCGTGGTGAGTGATACGTGTGGTGAGTGTACGTGTGTTGAGTGTACGTGTGTGAGTGTACGTGTGGTGAGTGTACGTGTGGCGAGTGTACGCGTGGTGAGTGTACGCGTGGTGAGTGTACGCGTGGTGAGTGTACGTGTGGTGAGTGTACGTGTGGTGAGTGTACGTGTGGTGAGTGGTACGTGTGGTGAGTGTCTGTGTGGTGAGTGTACGTGTGGTGGAGTGTCTGCGTGGTGAGTGTACGTGTGGTGAGTGTACGTGTGGTGAGTGTGCGCGTGGTGAGTGTGCGCGTGGTGAGTGTACGTGGTGAGTGTACGTGTGGTGAGTGTAAAGTGTGGTGAGCGTCTGCGTGTGGTGAGTGTCTGCGTGGTGAGTGTACGTGTGGTGAGTGTACGTGTGGTGAGTGTACGTGTGGTGAGTGTACGTGTGGTGAGTGTCTGCGTGGTGAGTGTACAGTGTGGTGAGTGTACGTGTGGTGAGTGTACGTGTGGTGAGTGTATGTGTGGTGAGTGTACGTGTGGTGAGTGTACGTGTGGTGAGTGTACGTGTGGTGAGTGTACGCGTGGTGAGTGTACGTGTGGTGAGTGTACGTGTGGTGAGTGTACGTGTGGTGAGTGTGCGCGTGGTGAGTGTACGTGTGGTGAGTGTAACGTGGTGAGTGTACGTGTGGTGAGTGTACGTGTGGTGAGTGTACGCGTGGTGAGTGTACGCGTGGTGAGTGTACGTGTGGTGAGTGTACGTGTGGTGAGTGTGCGTGTGGTGAGTGAGCGTGTGGTGAGTGTGCGTGTGGGTGAGTGTACGTGTGGTGAGTGTACACGTGGTGAGTGTACGTGTGGTGAGTGTACTGCGTGGTGAGTGTCTGCGTGGTGAGTGTACGTGTGGTGAGTGTACGTGTGGTGAGTGTACGCGTGGTGAGTGTACGCGTGTGAGTGTACTGCGTGGTGAGTGTACGTGTGGTGAGTGTCTGCGTGGTGAGTGTACGTGTGGTGAGTGTACGTGTGGTGAGTGTCTGCGTGGTGAGTGTACGTGTGGTGAGTGTACGTGTGGTGAGTGTACGCGTGGTGAGTGTACGTGTGGTGAGTGTACGTGTGGTGAGTGTCTGCGTAGTGAGTGTACGTGTGGCGAGTGTACGTGTGTTGAGTGTACATGTGGGTGAGTGTCTGCGTGGTGAGTGTACGTGGTGAGTGTACGTGTGGTGAGTGTACGTGTGGTGAGTGTACGTGTGGTGAGTGTACGTGTGGTGAGTGTACGCGTGGTGAGTGTACAGTGGTGAGTGTACGTGTGGTGAGTGTCTGCGTGGTGAGTGTACTGCGTGGTGAGTGTACGCGTGGTGAGTGTACGTGTGGTGAGTGTACGTGTGGTGAGTGTACGCGTGTGAGTGTACGTGTGGTGAGTGTCTGCGTGGTGAGTGTACGTGTGGTGAGCGTACGTGTGGTGAGTGTACGTGTGGTGAGTGTCTGCGTGGTGAGTGTACACGTGGTGAGTGTACGTGTGGTGAGTGTCTGCGTGGTGAGTGTACGTGTGGTGAGTGTACGTGTGGTGAGTGTACGTGTGGTGAGTGTCTGCGTGGTGAAGGTACGTGTGGTGAGTGTACACGTGGTGAGTGTACGTGTGGTGAGTGTCTGCGTGGTGAGTGTCTGCGTGGTGAGTGTACGTGTGGTGAGTGTACGTGTGGTGAGTGTACGTGTGGTGAGTGTCTGCGTGGTGAGGGTACGTGTGGTGAGTGTCTGCGTGTTGAGTGTCTGCGTGGTGAGTGTACGTGTGGTGAGTGTACGTGTGGTGAGTGTCTGCGTGGTGAGTGTACGTGTGGTGAGTGTACGTGAGGTGAGTGTCTGCGTGGTGAGTATCTGCGTGGTGAGTGTACGTGTGGTGAGTGTCTGCGTGGTGAGTGTACGTGTGGTGAGTGTACGTGTGGTGAGTGTACGTGTGGTGAGTGTACGTGTGGTGAGTGTACGCGTGGTGAGTGTACGCGTGGTGAGTGTACGTGTGGTGAGTGTCTGCGTGGTGAGTGTACGTGTGGTGAGTGTCTGCGTGGTGAGTGTACGTGTGGTGAGTGTACGTGTGGTGAGTGTCTGCGTGGTGAGTGTACGTGTGGTGAGTGTACGTGTGGTGAGTGTGCGCGTGGTGAGTGTGCGCGTGGTGAGTGTACGTGGTGAGTGTACGTGTGGTGAGTGTAAGTGTGGTGGAGCGTCTGCGTGTGGTGAGTGTCTGCGTGGTGAGTGTACGTGTGGTGAGTGTACGTGTGGTGAGTGTTCGTGCGGTGAGTGTACGTGTGGTGAGTGTACGTGTGGTGAGTGTACGTGTGGTGAGTGTCTGCGTGGTGAGTGTACGTGTGGTGAGTGTACGTGTGGTGAGTGTACGTGTGGTGAGTGTACGTGTGGTGAGTGTACGCCGTGGTGAGTGTACGCGTGGTGAGTGTACGTGTGGTGAGTGTACATGTGGTGAGTGTACGTGTGGTGAGTGTCTGAGTGGTGAGTGTACGTGTGGTGAGTGTACGTGTGGTGAGTGTACATGTGGTGAGTGTACGTGTGGTGAGTGTCTGCGTGGTGAGTGTACGTGTGGTGAGTGTACGTGTGGTGAGTGTACGCGTGGTGAGTGTACGTGTGGTGAGTGTACATGTGGTGAGTGTACGTGTGGTGAGTGTCTGCGTGGTGAGTGTACGTGTGGTGAGTGTACGTGTGGTGAGTGTACGTGTGGTGAGTGTCTGCGTGGTGAGTGTACGCGTGGTGAGTGTACATGTGGTGAGTGTACGTGTGGTGAGTGTCTGCGTGGTGAGTGTACGTGTGGTGAGTGTACGCGTGGTGAGTGTACGTGTGGTGAGTGTACGTGTGGTGAGTGTGCGTGTGGTGAGTGTGCGCGTGGTGAGTGTGCGCGTGGTGAGTGTACGTGCAGTGAGTGTACGTGTGGTGAGTGTACGTGTGGTGAGTGTCTGCGTGGTGAGTGTACGCGTGGTGAGTGTACGTGTGGTGAGTGTCTGCGTGGTGAGTGTACGCGTGGTGAGTGTACGTGTGGTGAGTGTACGTGTGGTGAGTGTACGTGTGGTGAGTGTACGCGTGGTGAGTGTACGCGTGGTGAGTGTACGTGTGGTGAGTGTACGTGTGGTGAGTGTGCGTGTGGTGAGTGAGCGTGTGGTGAGTGTGCGTGTGGTGAGTGTCTGCGTGGTGAGTGTACGTGTGGTGAGTGTACGTGTGGTGAGTGTACGCGTGGTGAGTGTACGTGTGGTGAGTGTACGTGTGGTGAGTGTCTGCGTAGTGAGTGTACGTGTGGCGAGTGTACGTGTGTTGAGTGTACATGTGGTGAGTGTCTGCGTGGTGAGTGTACGTGGTGAGTGTACGTGTGGTGAGTGTACGTGTGGTGAGTGTACGTGTGGTGAGTGTACGTGTGGTGAGTGTACGCGTGGTGAGTGTACACGTGGTGAGTGTACGTGTGGTGAGTGTCTGCGTGGTGAGTGTCTGCGTGGTGAGTGTACGCGTGGTGAGTGTACGTGTGGTGAGTGTACGTGTGGTGAGTGTACGCGTGGTGAGTGTACGTGTGGTGAGTGTCTGCGTGGTGAGTGTACGTGTGGTGAGTGTACGTGTGGTGAGTGTGCGCGTGGTGAGTGTCTGCGTGGTGAGTGTACGTGTGGTGAGTGTACACGTGGTGAGTGTACGTGTGGTGAGTGTACGTGTGGTGAGTGTCTGCGTGGTGAGTGTACGTGTGGTGAGTGTACGTGTGGTGAGTGTACGCGTGGTGAGTGTACGTGCGGTGAGTGTGCGTGTGGTGAGTGTACGCGTGGTGAGTGTACGTGTGGTGAGTGTCTGTGTGGTGAGTGTCTGCGTGGTGAGTGTACGTGTGGTGAGTGTACGTGTGGTGAGTGTACGTGTGGTGAGTGTACGTGTGGTGAGTGTACGCGTGGTGAGTGTACGTGTGGTGAGTGTACGTGTGGTGAGTGTACGTGCGGTGAGTGTGCGTGTGGTGAGTGTACGTGTGGTGAGTGTCTACGTGGTGAGTGTACGCGTGGTGAGTGTACGTGTGGTGAGTGTCTGCGTGGTGAGTGTACGTGTGGTGAGTGTCCGTGTGGTGAGTGTACGTGTGGTGAGTGTACGTGTGGTGAGTGTCTGCGTGGTGAGTGTACGTGTGGTGAGTGTCTGCGTGGTGAGTGTACGTGTGGTGAGTGTACGTGCGGTGAGTGTACGTGTGGTGAGTGTACGTGTGGTGAGTGTACGTGTGGTGAGTGTACGTGTGGTGAGTGTACGTGTGGTGAGCGTCTACGTGGTGAGTGTACGTGTGGTGAGTGTATGTGTGGTGAGTGTACGTGTGGTGAGCGTCTACGTGGTGAGTGTACGTGTGGTGAGTGTGTGCGTGGTGAGTGTACGTGTGGCGAGTGTACGTGTGGTGAGTGTCTGCGTGGTGAGTGTACGCGTGGTGAGTGTACGCGTGGTGAGTGTACGTGTGGTGAGTGTACGTGTGGTGAGTGTACGTGTGGTGAGTGTACGTGTGGTGAGTGTACGTGTGGTGAGTGTACGTGTGGTGAGTGTACGTGTGGTGAGTGTACGTGTGGTGAGTGTACGTGTGGTGAGTGTACGTGTGGTGAGTGTACGTGTGGTGAGTGTACGAGTGGTGAGTGTACGTGTGGTGAGTGTACGTGTGGTGAGTGTACGTGTGGTGAGTGTACGTGTGGTGAGTGTACGTGTGGTGAGTGTACGTGTGGTGAGTGTCTGCGTGGTGAGTGTACGTGTGGTGAGTGTACGTGTGGTGAGTGTGCGGGGCCTCACCGGGTAGGCCGGCAGTAGACCCCCAGGACCCATGATGTACTGGTTGGGCAGCATTGGGGGCACTCCGGGCGGCAGATTTGGGGGGGCCTTGCCTAGTGGGGGGTCGGCAGACAGAGCAGGGGGAGTTGGGGTGAGCAGGGGGAGTTGTGGTGAGCGGGGTTGGGGTGAGCGGGGGGGGGAGTTGGGGTGAGTGGGGGGAGTTGGGGTGAGCGGGGAGAGTTGGGGTGAGCGGGGGGAGTTGGGGTGAGCGGGGAGAGTTGGGGTGAGCGGGGTGAGTTGGGGTGAGCGGGGAGAGTTGGGGTGAGCGGGGGAGTTGGGGTGAGCGGGGAGAGTTGGGGTGAGCGGGGAGAGTTGGGGTGAGCGGGGGGAGTTGGGGTGAGCGGGGGAGTTGGGGTGAGCGGGGAGAGTTGGGGCGAGCGGGGGGAGTTGGGGTGAGCGGGGGGAGTTGTGGTGAGCGGGGTTGGGGTGAGCGGGGGGGGGGGAGTTGGGGTGAGTGGGGGGAGTTGGGGTGAGCGGGGAGAGTTGGGGTGAGCGGGGGGAGTTGGGGTGAGCGGGGAGAGTTGGGGTGAGCGGGGTGAGTTGGGGTGAGCGGGGAGAGTTGGGGTGAGCGGGGGGGAGTTGGGGTGAGCGGGGGGAGTTGGGGTGAGCGGCGGAGAGTTGGGGTGAGCGGGGAGAGTTGGGGTGAGTGGGGAGAGTTGGGGTGAGCGGGGAGAGTTGGGGTGAGCGGGGGGAGTTGGGGTGAGCGGGGGGAGTTGGGGTGAGCGGGGGGAGTTGGGTGAGCGGGGAGAGTTGGGGTGAGCGGGGAGAGTTGGGGTGAGCGGGGAGAGTTGGGGTGAGCGGGGGGGAGTTGAGGTGAGCGGGGGGAGTTGGGGTGAGCGGCGGAGAGTTTGGGGTGAGCGGGGGGGAGTTGAGGTGAGCGGGGTTGGGGTGAGCGGGGAGAGTTGGGGTGAGCGGGGGGGAGTTGAGGTGAGCGGGGGGAGTTGGGGTGAGCGGCGGAGAGTTGGGGTGAGCGGGGAGAGTTGTGGTGAGCGGGGTTGGGGTGAGCGGGGAGAGTTGGGGTGAGCGGGGGGGAGTTGAGGTGAGCGGGGGGAGTTGGGGTGAGCGGCGGAGAGTTGGGGTGAGCGGGGAGAGTTGGGGTGAGCGGGGGAGTTGGGGGTGAGCGGGGGGAGTTGAGGTGAGCGGGGGGAGTTGGGGTGAGCGGCGGAGAGTTGGGGTGAGCGGGGAGAGTTGGGGTGAGCGGGGGAGTTGGGGTGAGCGGGGGGGGGGGGGAGTTGGGGTGAGCGGGGGAGTTGTGGTGAGCGGGGTTGGGGTGAGCGGGGGGCGGAGTTGGGGTGAGCGGGGAGGGGTTGGGGTGACCGGGGGGAGTTGGGGTGAGCGGGGGGGGGGAGTTGTGGTGAGCGGGGGGGGGGAGTTGGGGTGAGGGGGGGGAGTTGGGGTGAGCGGGGAGAGTTGGGGTGAGCGGGGGGAGGTTGGAGTGAGCGGGGGGAGTTGGGGTGAGCGGGGGGAGTTGGGGTGAGCGGGGGGAGTTGGGGTGAGCGGGGAGGGGTTGGGGTGAGCGGGGGGAGTTGGGGTGAGCGAGGGGGGGAGTTGTGGTGAGCGGGGGGGGGGAGTTGGGGTGAGGGGGGGGAGTTGGGGTGAGCGGGGGGGAGAGTTGGGGTGAGCGGGGAGAGTTGGGGTGAGCGGGGGGAGTTGGGGTGAGCGGGGTTGGGGTAAGGAGTTTGGGGGGGTGAGGGGGCGTTGGGGTGAGCGAGCGAGAGGGTGAGTTGATGAGCGAGCGGGTGAGTGAGTTCATGAGTGAGCGAGTGAGCGGGTGAGTGAGTTGATGAGCGAGTGAGCGTGTGAGCGAGTTGCTGAGCGAGCAAGAGAGCGAGTGAGTTGATGAGCGAGTTGATGAGCGAGCACGCGACTGAGTTGATGAGTGAGCGAGCGGGTGAGCGAGTTGATGAACGAGCGGGTGAGCGAGTTGATGAGCGAGCGGGTGAGCGAGTTGGTGAGCGAGCGGGTGAGTGAGTTGATGAGCGAGCGGGTGAGTGAGTTGATGAGCGAGCGGGTGAGTGAGTTGATGAGCGAGCGGGTGAGTGAGTTGATGAGCGAGCGAGTTGATGAGCGAGCGAGCGGGTGAGTGAGTTGATGAGCGAGCGGGTGAGCGAGTTGATGAGCGAGCGAGCGGGTGAGCGAGTTGATGAGCGAGTGAGTTGATGAGCGAGCGAGCGGGTGAGTGAGCGAGTTGATGAGCGAGTGAGTTGATGAGCGAGCGAGCGGGTGAGTGGGTTGATGAGCGAGTGAGCGGGTGAGTGAGTGAGTTGATGAGCGAGCGAGCGGGTGAGTGGGTTGATGAGCGAGTGAGCGGGTGAGTGAGTGAGTTGATGAGCGAGCGAGTTGATGAGCGAGTGAGCGGGTGAGTGAGTGAGTTGATGAGCGAGTGAGCGGGTGAGTGAGTGAGTTGATGAGCGAGTGAGCGGGTGAGTGAGCGAGTTGATGAGCGAGTGAGTTGATGAGTGAGCGGGTGAGTGATCCCGCCCTCCGCCCCCCCCTGCCCACCGGACGTGGCGGCCGCAGGCTGCCTCCCCGCCGAGGAGAGCGACGAGTTGACGGCGGAGACGGCGGCGGAGGAGGAGGAGGAGGAGGAGCAGGACGAGGAGGAGTTGACGGACGAGGAGATGGAGGCCGTGGAGCTGCTGTTGAGGGCCGGGTGCTGCGAGGGGCCCAGCGTGGAGGAGGAGGAGGCCGAGGAGGAGGAGGCGGAGGAGGAGGAGAAGGCCGTGGCCGGGCTGGGCCCACAGCCTAGGCCCCCGCTCATGCCCACGCCCGGGTGGCTCCCGTAGAGGGGCTCCGGTACCACGGGCTGGGGGGAGGGGCGGCAGCAGGGTGTGAAGAGGTGGTGGTGAAGGTGGTGATGGCGGTGGTGGTGAAGGTGGTGGTGGTGATGGTGGTGGTGGTGATGGTGGTGGTGGTGATGGTGGTGATGGTGGTGGTGGTGAAGGTGGTGGTGGTGAAGGTGGTGGTGGTGGTGAAGATGGTGGTGGTGGTGGTGAAGATGGTGGTGGTGATGGTGGTGGTGATGGCGGTGGTGATGGTGGTGGTGATGGCGGTGGTGATGGTGGTGGTGATGGCGGTGGTGGTGATGGCGGTGGTGGCGATGGTGGTGGTGATGGTGGAGGTGGTGATGGTGGTGGTGGTGATGGTGGAGGTGGTGATGGTGGCGGTGGCGATGGTGGTGGTGATGGTGGTGGTGGTGATGGTGGAGGTGGTGATGGCGGTGGTGGCGATGGAGGTGGTGATGGTGGAGGTGGTGATGGTGGTGGTGGTGATGGTGGAGGTGGTGATGGTGGCGGTGATGGTGGTGGTGGTGATGGTGGAGGTGGTGATGGCGGTGGTGGCGATGGAGGTGGTGATGGTGGCGGTGGCGATGGGGGTGATGGTGAAGGTGGTGGTGGTGGTGGTGGTGATGGCGATGGTGGTGATGGTGGCGATGGGGGTGATGAAGGTGGTGGGGGTGATGGTGGCGGTGGTGATGGTGAAGGTGGTGGTGATGATGAAGGTGGTGGTGGTGGTGGTGATGGTGGTGGTGGCGATGGTGGTGGCGGTGAAGGTGGTGGCGATGGGGGTGATGAAGGTGGCGATGGTGGCGGTGGTGGAGGTTATCACCGCCACCACCACCACCACCCCCGTGTCTCCCACCTGGGTGTTGACTGCGGGAGCTGTGGAGCAAAGCGCCGGGCTGCTGATGTGCAGGCCAGACGCTGCCGCGGCCGCCATGATGCCCGCGGAACTGTGGCTCGACAGCGCGCTGGCAAAGACAAAGGTCCCCCGGGTAGCCTCAACAGACTGTAGGGGCAAGGGCCGTCAGCGGCCCGCCTACCAAGGCCACCGGCACTGCGGCACACGCGGAGGGGGGTGGGCGGACCAGCGCCGCCGCTCCCGGCCGCCTTTGTCTCTCCCCCAGTGGGGGACGTTTACTAAGCCGCACGGGGGCACGCACGGACAAAAGTCCCAGCGGGCGGCCTCAACAGGCAAGGGCTGTCAGCAGCAGCGGCAGGAGGAGCAGCAGCGAGTGGCAGTGGGCGGGGGAGCGGGCGGGCGGGTGAGTGGGTGGACGAGTGGGAGGGCGAGTGGGAGGGCGAGTGGGAGGGGAGCGGGCGGTGAGTGGGTGGACGAGTGGGAGGGGCGGGTGAGTGGGCGGACGAGTGGGAGGGCGAGTGGGAGGGCGGGCGAGTGGGTGGACGAGTGGGAGGGCGGGTGAGTGGGTGGACGAGTGGGAGGGCGGGCGAGTGGGCGGACGAGTGGGAGGGCGGGGCGAGTGGGTGGGCGAGTGGGTGGGCGAGTGGGGCGGACGAGTGGGAGGGCGAGTGGGAAGGGCGGGGTGAGTGGGGCGGGTGAGTGGGTCATTGGGTGAGCGGATGGGCGGATGAGTGAGCGGGTGGGCAGGTGAGTGGGTGTGTGTGTGGGTGAGTGGGTGGGCGAATGGGTGGGAGAGTGGGTGGACAGACGGGCGAGTGTGTGTGTGTGCGAGTGTGTGTGTGTGTGCGCGAGTGTGCGTGAGTGTGTCAGTGCTGTGTGAGTGTGCGAGTGTGAGTGTTTTCTGTGTGTGAGTGCTGTGCGAGTGAGTGTGCGAGTGTGTGAGTGTGCGAGTGTGTGAGTGTGCGAGTGCGCGCGTGAGTGAGTGTGCAAGTGTGCGAGTGTGTGAGTGGGCGAGTGAGGTGAATGCTAGGTGAGTGTGCGAGTGAGTGTGCGAGTGTGTGAGTGTGTGTGTGCGAGTGTGAGTGTATGAGTGTGTGTGTGTGTGAGTGTGCGAGTGTGTGAGTGTGCGAGTGTGTGCGAGTGCTGTGCGAGTGTGCGAGTGGGTGAGTGTGTGAGTGTGCGAGTGTGCGTGTGTGCGAGTGTGCGTGTGAGCGTGCGAGTGGGCGAGTGAGGTGAGTGCTAGGTGAGTGTGCGAGTGAGTGTGCGAGTGTGTGAGTGTGTGAGTGTGCGAGTGAGGTGAGGTGAGGTGCTAGGTGAGCGTTAGGCGAGTGTGTGAGTGTGCGAGTGAGGTGAGTGAGCGAGTGAGGTGAGTGAGGTGAGGTGCTAGGTGAGCGTTAGGCGAGTGTGCGAGTGTGTGAGTGTGCGAGTGAGGTGAGTGAGCGAGTGAGGTGAGTGAGGTGAGGTGCTAGGTGAGCGTTAGGCGAGTGTGTGTGTGAGTGTGTGAGTGTGTGTGTGTGAGTGTGCGAGTGAGGTGAGGTGCTAGGTGAGCGTTAGGCGAGTGTGTGAGTGTGTGTGTGTGAGTGTGTGAGTGTGTGAGGTGCGAGTGAGGTGAGTGAGGTGCGAGTGAGGTGCTAGGTGAGCGTTAGGTGAGTGTGCGAGTGAGGTGTCAGCCTCACCTGGTGTGAGAGGCGAGCTCTGCTGCTGCATTGGGAGCGAGTGATGCGCCCATTGATACCAGCAGTGACTGGCTCTCAACTTTACCTGCACACACGCACACACACACAGACACGCACACACACACGCACACAGACACGCACACACACGCACACACACGCACGCACGCACACACACACACACGCGCGCACGCACACACACACACACGCACACACACCGACCATCATCAACAACAACCGCCATGGCGCCTGTGCCAGGCTAGGTGCACGTTGAGGCAACGTGAAGTGTCGAACGCCCGCTGGCAGGACGTCTCGGGGCAGACCCAGCAGGTGCCTTGGGTTGTGCTGCTGTGCCAGGCTAGGTGCATCAGGAGATCACGGGACAGACCCTGCAGGAGCCATGGCTTGTACTGCTGTGCCAGGCTAGGTGCATGAGGAGGTGGTCACAGGACAGACCCAGCAGGTGCCATGGGTGCCAGGCTATGTGCACCCTGAGGCCACGTGAAGTGTCGAACGCCCGCTGGCAGGAGGTCACGGGGCAGACCCAGGTGCCACGGGTCGACTGACTGAGATGACTGGCTGATGCACCACCTGTGCCCCCTACTGTGCCAACTCGCTGTGCTTTAGCCACCCGGCACTCCGCTCGTTGTTGTGAGCGTCGCTCCTCCGCCCTCCGTTGCTATTGGAGGGCGACTGCCTCCAACTGCCCAGTAGCATCCTTCACGAGCCTCCTCCACAGAGTCCGATCTTGACACCGCTGGTACCGGTCATCGGCAAGTCCACTCAGCTGCACGTCCTCCTGTACCACATCACTCCATCTCTTCTCTAGCCCGTGCCGCGCCCGTTTTGCCCCCTCGATCCGGCCAAACAAAAGCTGTTTGGGCATGCGGTGGCTGGGCATGCGGGCTACATGACCCAGCCAACGCAGCCTTGCCTGCCGGACGAGCTCACCGATGGGACCTTGCCCAGATCTTTCGAGGATTTGTGAGCTCTTGACACAATCCAGGTCTGCTGGTTAAACCCAGATACTATGATCTACTACCTACTTACACATCAGCTACCATCATCTCAACACACATCAACAAAGACAAAGCCCGGGTTTGTAGCGCAGCGTAGCGCTAACCGCTACACTCCCGCTCCCAGTCAGACACACAAGACACACACACACAGACACAAAGATCCCCCATATAGCCTTAACAGACTGTAGGGGCAAGTGTTGTTAGCGAGCAGCACCTATGAAGGCCGGCACAGCACACGAGGGGGTGGGTGGCCAGCACCACGCCCGGCCGCCTTTGTCTCCCCAGTGCTAGCGATGTTTACTACACTACACCACCGCTACACCAGGTACTCATTTGTAGGCTGAGTTGACCTTGGGGAGGCCCTGGACCGGGTCAGATAATCGTCACCGGTGTTGGCCGTGAGCGGGAATCGAACCCGTGTCGCCAGGTTCATAGCGCAGCGTAGCGCTAACCACTACACTGAGACACACACACACAGACACAGGTACACACAGACACACACAGACACACACAGACACACACACAGACACACACACACGTATGCACGCACCATCATGAGATGTTCCAGTCCGGACCGATCCATAGGCGGTCTGCAGACAGGCGGAGAGACACGCCGAGCAATTACACAGAGCACCTCCGTACACCCATACTGACAGCGGACTGATGTACAGAGACAGCTGCCACTGGGGGTGCCCCTAGGCTAGACCACACAGCCCCCTACTACTACTACTGACAGCAGGACTGATGGACAGAGACAGCTGCCACTGGGGGTGCCCCTAGGCTAGACCACACAGCCCCTACTGCTACTACTGACAGCAGGCTGATGTACAGAGACAGCTGACACTGGGGGTGCCCCTAGGCTAGACCACACAGCCCCTACTGCTACTACTGACAGCAGGCTGATGTACAGAGACAGCTGACACTGGGGGTGCCCCTAGGCTAGACCACACAGCCCCTACTGCTACTACTGACAGCAGGCTGATGTACAGACAGCTGCCACTGGGGGTACCCCTAGGCTAGACCACACAGCCCCTACTGCTACTACTGACAGCAGGCTGATGTACAGAGACAGCTGCCACTAGGGGTGCCCCTAGGCTAGACCACACAGCCCCTACTGCTACTACTGACAGCAGGCTGATGTACAGAGACAGCTGACACTGGGGGTGCCCCTAGGCTAGACCACACAGCCCCCTACTGCTACTACTGACAGCAGGCTGATGTACAGAGACAGCTGACACTGGGGGTGCCCCTAGGCTAGACCACACAGCCCCTACTGCTACTACTGACAGCAGCCTGATGTAGTACAGAGACAGCTGACACTGGGGGTGCCCCTAGGCTAGACCACACAGCCCCTACTGCTGCTACTGACAGCCGGCTGATGTACAGAGACAGCTGCCACTGGGGGTGCCCCTAGGCTAGACCACACAGCCCCTACTGCTGCTACTGACAGCAGGCTGATGTACAGAGATAGCTGACACTGGGGGTGCCCCTAGGCTAGACCACACAGCCCCCTACTGCTACTACTGACAGCAGGCTGATGTACAGAGACAGCTGACACTGGGGATGCCCCGAGGCTAGACCACACAGCCCCTACTGCTACTACTGACAGCAGCCTGATGTAGTACAGAGACAGCTGACACTGGGGGTGCCCCTAGGCTAGACCACACAGCCCCTACTGCTGCTACTGACAGCCGGCTGACGTACAGAGACAGCTGCCACTGGGGGTGCCCCTAGGCTAGACCACACAGCCCCCTACTGCTACTACTGACAGCAGGCTGATGTACAGACAGCTACCACTGGGGGTGCCCCTAGGCTAGTCCACACAGCACCTGTGACATGTCATTCTGGGGCGATCCTCTCGCCGTCTGATAGGCTGTTCTCGAGTCAGCGGACATGCCCTGCTGTCCAATGGCATTGCTCCCTTGCGACGTCAACATGCCGGCCTGGCCAATGGCGTTGCTCCCTTGTGATGACGTCATCAGGCTAGGCCCACCAACCTGGGGATGACAGACCCACAGACTCACCGCACAAAGAACCACAGACTCACCACACAGAGACCCATAGACTCACCACACAGAGACCCATAGACTCACCACACAGAGACCCACAGACTCACCACACAGAGACCCACAGACTCACCACACAGAGACCCACAGACTCACCACACAGAGACCCATAGACTCACCACACAGAGACCCATAGACTCACCACACAGAGACCCACAGACTCACCACACAGAGATCCACAGACTCACACCACACAGAGATCCACAGACTCACCGCACAGAGACCCACAGACTCACGGCACAGAGGCCCACAGACTCACGGCACAGAGACCCATAGACTCACCACACAGAGACCCATAGACTCACCACACAGAGACCCATAGACTCACCACACAGAGACCCATAGACTCACCACACAGAGACCCATAGACTCACCACACAGAGACCCACAGACTCACCACACAGAGACCCACAGACTCACCACACAGAGACCCACAGACTCACCACACAGAGACCCATAGACTCACCACACAGAGACCCACAGACTCACCACACAGAGATCCACAGACTCACACACACAGAGATCCACAGACTCACCACACAGAGACCCACAGACTCACGCACAGAGACCCACAGACTCACCACACAGAGACCCACAGACTCACCACACAGAGACCCACAGACTCACCACACAGAGACCCATAGACTCACCACACAGAGACCCACTAGACTCACCACACAGAGACCCACTAGACTCACCACACAGAGACCCACAGACTCACCACACAGAGACCCACAGACTCACCACACAGAGACCCACAGACTCACCACACAGAGACCCACAGACTCACCACACAGAGACCCACAGACTCACCACACAGAGACCCACAGACTCACCACACAGAGACCCACAGACTCACCACACAGAGACCCACAGACTCACCACACAGAGACCCACAGACTCACCACACAGAGACCCACAGACTCACCACACAGAGACCCACAGACTCACCACACAGAGACCCACAGACTCACCACACAGAGACCCACAGACTCACCACACAGAGACCCACAGACTCACCACACAGAGACCCACAGACTCACCACACAGAGACCCACAGACTCACCACACAGAGACCCACAGACTCACCACACAGAGACCCACTAGACTCACCACACAGAGACCCACAGACTCACCACACAGAGACCCACAGACTCACGCACAGAGACCCACAGACTCACCACACAGAGACCCACAGACTCACCACACAGAGACCCACAGACTCACCACACAGAGACCCACAGACTCACCACACAGAGACCCACAGACTCACCACACAGAGACCCACAGACTCACCACACAGAGACCCACAGACTCACCGCACAGAGACCCACAGACTCACCGCACAGAGACCCACAGACTCACGGCACAGAGACCCACAGACTCACCGCACAGAGACCCACAAGACTCACCGCACAGAGACCCACAGACTCACCACACAGAGACCCACAGACTCACCGCACAGAGACCCACAGACTCATCACACAGAGACCCACCACACAGAGACTCACAGACTCACCACACAGAGACCCACAGACTCACCACACAGAGACCCACAGACTCACCACACAGAGACCCACAGACTCACCACACAGAGACCCACAGACTCACTCACACAGAGACCCACAGACTCACCGCACAGAGACCCACAGACTCACACCACACAGAGACCCACAGACTCACCACACAGAGACCCACAGACTCACCGCACAGAGACCCACAGACTCACACCACACAGAGACCCACAGACTCACCACACAGAGACCCACAGACTCACCGCACAGAGACCCACAGACTCACCGCACAGAGACCCACAGACTCACCACACAGAGACCCATAGACTCACCACACAGAGACCCACAGACTCACCACACAGAGACCCACAGACTCACCACACAGAGACCCACAGACTCACCACACAGAGACCCACAGACTCACCACACAGAGACCCACTAGACTCACCACACAGAGACCCACAGACTCACCACACAGAGACCCACAGACTCACCACACAGAGACCCACAGACTCACCACACAGAGACCCACTAGACTCACCACACAGAGACCCACAGACTCACCACACAGAGACCCACAGACTCACCACACAGAGACCCACAGACTCACCACACAGAGACCCACAGACTCACCACACAGAGACCCACAGACTCACCACACAGAGACCCACAGACTCACCACACAGAGACCCACAGACTCACCACACAGAGACCCACAGACTCACCACACAGAGACCCACAGACTCACCACACAGAGACCCACAGACTCACCACACAGAGACCCACAGACTCACCACACAGAGACCCACAGACTCACCACACAGAGACCCACAGACTCACCACACAGAGACCCACAGACTCACCACACAGAGACCCACAGACTCACCACACAGAGACCCACAGACTCACCACACAGAGACCCACAGACTCACCACACAGAGACCCACAGACTCACCACACAGAGACCCACAGACTCACCACACAGAGACCCACAGACTCACCACACAGAGACCCACAGACTCACCACACAGAGACCCACAGACTCACCACACAGAGACCCACAGACTCACCACACAGAGACCCACAGACTCACCACACAGAGACCCACAGACTCACCACACAGAGACCCACAGACTCACCACACAGAGACCCACAGACTCACCACACAGAGACCCACAGACTCACCACACAGAGACCCACAGACTCACCACACAGAGACCCACAGACTCACCACACAGAGACCCACAGACTCACCACACAGAGACCCACAGACTCACCACACAGAGACCCACAGACTCACCACACAGAGACCCACAGACTCACCACACAGAGACCCACAGACTCACCACACAGAGACCCACAGACTCACCACACAGAGACCCACAGACTCACCACACAGAGACCCACAGACTCACCACACAGAGACCCACAGACTCACCACACAGAGACCCACAGACTCACCACACAGAGACCCACAGACTCACCACACAGAGACCCACAGACTCACCACACAGAGACCCACAGACTCACCACACAGAGACCCACAGACTCACCACACAGAGACCCACAGACTCACCACACAGAGACCCACAGACTCACCACACAGAGACCCACAGACTCATCACACAGAGACCCACAGACTCACCACACAGAGACCCACAGACTCACCACACAGAGACCCACAGACTCACCACACAGAGACCCACAGACTCACCACACAGAGACCCACAGACTCACCACACAGAGACCCACAGACTCACCACACAGAGACCCACAGACTCACCACACAGAGACCCACAGACTCACCACACAGAGACCCACAGACTCACCACACAGAGACCCACAGACTCACCACACAGAGACCCACAGACTCACCACACAGAGACCCACAGACTCACCACACAGAGACCCACTAGACTCACCACACAGAGACCCACAGACTCACCACACAGAGACCCACAGACTCACCACACAGAGACCCACAGACTCACCACACAGAGACCCACAGACTCACCACACAGAGACCCACAGACTCACCACACAGAGACCCACAGACTCACCACACAGAGACCCACAGACTCACCACACAGAGACCCACAGACTCACCACACAGAGACCCACAGACTCACCACACAGAGACCCACAGACTCACCACACAGAGACCCACAGACTCACCACACAGAGACCCACAGACTCACCACACAGAGACCCACAGACTCACCACACAGAGACCCACAGACTCACCACACAGAGACCCACAGACTCACCACACAGAGACCCACAGACTCACCACACAGAGACCCACAGACTCACCACACAGAGACCCACAGACTCACCACACAGAGACCCACAGACTCACCGCACAGAGACCCACAGACTCACCACACAGAGATCCACAGACTCACCACACAGAGACCCACAGACTCACCACACAGAGACCCACAGACTCACCGCACAGAGACCCACAGACTCATCACACAGAGACCCATAGACTCATCACACAGAGACCCACAGACTCACCACACAGAGACCCACAGACTCACCACACAGAGACCCATAGACTCACCACACAGAGACCCACAGACTCACCACACAGAGACCCACAGACTCACCACACAGAGACACAGACTCACCACACAGAGACCCACAGACTCACCGCACAGAGACCCACACAGAGACCCACAGACTCACCGCACAGAGACCCACAGACTCACCACACAGAGACCCACAGACTCACCGCACAGAGACCCATAGACTCACCACACAGAGACCCACAGACTCACCACACAGAGACCCACAGACTCACCACACAGAGACCCACAGACTCACCACACAGAGACCCACAGACTCACCACACAGAGACCCACAGACTCACCACACAGAGACCCACAGACTCACCACACAGAGACCCACAGACTCACCACACAGAGACCCACAGACTCACCGCACAGAGACCCACAGACTCACCACACAGAGACCCACAGACTCACCACACAGAGACCCACAGACTCACCACACAGAGACCCATAGACTCACCACACAGAGACCCACAGACTCACCACACAGAGACCCACAGACTCACCACACAGAGACCCACAGACTCACCACACAGAGACCCACAGACTCACCACACAGAGACCCACAGGACTCACCACACAGAGACCCACAGTACTCACCACACAGAGACCCACAGACTCACCACACAGAGACCCACAGACTCACCACACAGAGACCCACAGACTCACCAAACAGAGACCCACAGACTCACCACACAGAGACCCACAGACTCACCACACAGAGACCCACAGACTCACCACACAGAGACCCACAGACTCACCACACAGAGACCCACAGACTCACCACACAGAGACCCACAGACTCACCACACAGAGACCCACAGACTCACCACACAGAGACCCACAGACTCACCACACAGAGACCCACAGACTCACCACACA